ATAGGATAAAGAATTATATACTTCTCATGTATATTCCTTTTCTGTCTAGAAAATGGCTTCCAGCTGAAACTGTCTTGTTCCTGTTGTCCCCCAGTGCCCAACACAATGCCCTTCCCAGAGTAATACCTTTTTATCTATCATCATCATCATCATTTTGTGATATTGGGGACTGAAGCCAGGGCCTTTGCACTCAGTTGCATCCCAATTCCTTTTTATTTATTTTGAGACAAGGTTTAAGTTGCGCAGGCTGGGCTTGAACTCATGATCCTCTTGCTCCAGTTTTCTCGACTGCTGGGATGACAGGCATGCACCACCATGTCTTATGTGTCTCATCTCTTTTGCTCTAAGCAAAGTGGTTCCCCATTTCCGGAGCCAGGGCACTCTCTCTGCAGAGTGGGGGTGATGGTTCCTATCTGTGGGGGTTACAGGAGGTAGCTGGTATGCAAGGCTCTGCTTCTCGGTTCTTGCCCACAGGTGCCACTGCAGACCTGGGTTGTTCAGTCCAAGAGAGGTGCAGCTTCCTTCCAGCTGACCCCTGAATTCTTCAGGCCCATTCACTTCAGGGACCTGGATGCTCACATCCTACGTATGACTCAAACTCCGAGATGGAGATACCAGAGGTACCTGCAGGACGCCTGGGCCCAGGGCCTGTTCGGTCCACAGCGTCCATGTGAGGGCCCACCCTGGAGTGTCGGCACCCTCTCGGAGCTCATCTTTGGCACCTCTTCCTTTTCAAGCACCTGTCTGCTCCCTCAGAGCAGTTTCTGGGAAGCATGGCATGTGCCCTGGTGTCCCAGGGATGATCAGCTTCATCCTGCCCTGCACACATGGCAAAGAATAAGGCAGCTGCTGCTTCACTCCCATGACGTGTTGGCACCCCTGGAGCAAACCGTCAGCAGAAGGGCCGGCCCCACCTCCAATGCCTTAGCCATCTCTCTCCCGGAACTCCCTGCAGCTCCAAGGCTGCAGGCCTGCCCCAGAGAGCCCCTGCCTGGTCCTCCCAACCTGCAACTGGAAGTGCTTTCCTGGAAGGCCTGTATGAACTCACAAGAGACCTGGACACCTCAGAGTGACACCCAGATAGTAACCAGGGAATATAGTAGAAAGACCCAGGCTCCTCGGTGGGGAAACCAGAGAGAGGGCAGAGAAATACAAGTATCCAAGGGCCAATTCCAAACAGACTCTGGACTAGAGAACGGGGCAGAGGCAAAGGTCTTGGGATGCACAAAACAGAGGCCAGTCATCAGAGAAAGTGAGGAAGGGATCCTGATCCTGCCAGAATGGGAGAAACAGATGAGAGTTGAGAATAGAGCCCAAGTTGAGGAACTAGGGAAGAAAACACAGAAAGCAGATGGAAATAAGAGTCCTCCTGAAACCCAGCCTCCTAGAAGGGAGTACCAAGCACAGTTAAGATGCACAACTGATGCTGAGACCCAAACTCCAGAGTGGGGGTCCCAGGATAAGAACAGAGATGGGGGTGATCTGCAGACACAGGCATTGCACGGGAAGAATCAGAGTGAGGCTAGAGAGGAGGAAGAAGGAGCAGTCCAGTTCCGAGGACTAGAGACACAGGGCCACCCTGGAGGGGACAGTGGTGAGGAGCCCCTGTCTCCAGAGCAGGAGAAACAAAACCAGATGAGAGGTGATACTGCTGCAGAGACTGAGGCTGAAGCGGGGAGAAACAAGGGCCAGGTTGGGGGTGGGCAGGTTGTGCAAGCCCAGGCATCTGGGAGAGAGAGCATGGAAGTCAAACAAGAGAATGACGCAGAGATCCAGGCCTGGGAATGGGAGAGGCAGGCCCGCACCAGAAGGGCCAAGGTCGCAGAAATCGAGACACCAGTCGGGGAGAAGCAGGGTCAGGGTGAAAGCGAGAGAGCTAGGAACACCGAGGCCCGAGAGCGCGGGAAGTGGTCAAACCATGCCACTCCAGTAGGGTGGGAAGACCAAGGCCTGGGAAGAGGCCAGGAGGCTGGAGAACCTCAGGTGTCTGGGAAAAAGCAGTTCAGGGAGATAAGAGAGCAGGATTGGGTGGTGATCAAGGCACCCTGGTGGGGCAACCAGAGGCTCGTGGTGAGTGAACTTAACGGAGAACTGAAGACACCCTGTCAGGGGAACCGGAGCCAGGCTGGAGGTGCACACAGAGCAGAAATTCAGGCAACAGAGGAAATTGGGGTGAGAGGGGGTGGAGATGAGGATGGCACAAACACCCGGAGCCCCGAGGCAGAGAACAAGGGACGGTTCAGAGGGGACAGTGATGTGGAGACCCACCTCGCAGGAAGGAAGAATAAGGAATGGTTTGGAGATGGGAACGGAACTGAGGTCGAGGCACCAGGGAAGAGAAACCCAGGAGGAATCCAAGGCGAGGATGGTGCAGAGATCCAGGAAGTTGGGGAAGAAAGTCAGGGTCAGCTGGAAAATGAATTTCATGGAAAGAGTTACAGTCCAAAGTGGAAGCACCAGGGATGTCTTAGAGGCAAGGACGGTGCAGATACTCAGACACCTGAGACTGAGAACTGGGGAGAATTGACAAGTGAGATGGGTGGAGGAACCCTTTCAGTAGGATGGAAGAAAGGAGGCTGGGCTGAGAATGGGGAAGAAATCCAAGTGGGAAACTCCAGAGGAGCCGGAGGGGAGGCTGGTTCAGGAACAGGAGCATCCGGGGAGGGGAGTCAGAGGCAGGCAGGGCGTGATATGGACAGGAAGAGCCCTTCATCAGAGTGGGAGGATCAGGAACAGAAGAGAAGTGAGGATGGAACAGAAATCCAGGCCCCGGAGAAGAGAAAGCAGAGAGTCCCTGAAGGGGAAGATGCTTCAAAGACCCGGAGGCCTGAGCCAGAGAATGGGGGACAGTTGGAGCGTGAGATTGGAGGGTGCCATTCTCTCGGCACGGGGAGCTGGGAACAGACTGGAGCAGAGAGCATGGCAGTACGTCAGCTGTCCCAGGAGAGAAACCTGAAAGAGGCTGGAAGTGAGTGTGGCAGAAGGATCCAGAGACTTACAAGTAAGAAACGGAGACTGTTGAAAAGCAAAGTTAATGGAAAGAGCTGTTCCTCAGAATGGAAGGATCAGGAGCAGATTGGAGGCAGAAATGGTGCAGAAATTCAAACACAAGGAAAGAGAAACCTGAGAGGGACGCTTGGTGACCATGGTAGAGAGCCCCAGCCACTCGTGAGTGGTGGCCAGGCACAGACAAGAAGGCAAACTGATGGAGAGTCCCAGATCCAAT